GTTGTACAACTTAAAGGCGGGTAATGGATGGCTGGATAAAAGTTTCACAGAGTTATTATCACTTAAGAAAGAGATGCTTCCAGATGATAATGTTCTTCCCAATCGAACCTATGAGGCCAAAAAAATGTTGTGCTCTATTGGCATGAGCTATGATAAGATACATGCTTATCCAAATGATTGCACTTTGTTCAAATGAATATGCATCCTTGATTGAGTTCCCTAAATGCGGTGTCTCTCGATATAATAAGAAATTGTCTCCAACAAAAGTCTTATGGTATTTTCCTATAATTCTGAGATTTAGACGCATGTTTCATAGTGAAACTGATGTAAAACACTTGACTTGGCATGCAGATGAAAGAATTATAGATGCAAAGTTTCGACATCTGGCACATTCACCACAGTGGATGAAAAATGACAATGATTATCCTGATTTTAGAGAAAAAGCGAGAAATCTTCGGTTGGAATTATCTATTGATGGAATAAACCCACACGGTCTGCAAAGTATCTCACATTCCACATGGTCTGTAATTATTATGATTTATAACCTACCTTCATGGCTATGTATGAAGCGTAAGTACATGATGTTATCTATGTTAATTTCTGGGCCTAAACAACCAGGGAATGACATAGACGTATACTTGACACCTTTAATCGAAGACTTAAAGATTTTGTGGGAGAACGGTGTGGAGGTTTATAATGGATACAAGAAAGAAAGTTTCAATTTGAGGGTGATGTTGTTTGACACAATTAATGATTTTCCAGCTTATGGAAACCTATCAGGGTATAACATTAAAGGTCAATGTGCGTGTCCTATTTATGAAGAAAACACAAATTGGACGCGATTAGAATTTTTTTCAGAAGAATGTCTTTTTTGATCATCGTAGATTCTTAAATTCTAATCATCACTACCGTGGATGGAGAAAAGCATTCAATAGAAATCAAGAACAAGGTAGAGTTCCACCTACATTGACAGGTGATCAAATTTTTGAAAAGGTGAAAGATGTGAGTATTCATTTTGGCAAGCCTTTTGCACATACTATTGTCACACGTGGGTGGAAGAAGAGCTCAATTTTTTTTGGATTTCCATATTGGAAGTCGTTGTATGTAAGACATTTTCTCGATGTTATGCATATTGAAAAAAATGTATTTGAAAGTGTTATTGGTACGTTACTCAATATGCAAGAAAAGTTTAAGGATGTCCTTAAAGCAAGAAAGGACTTGATAGCGATGGGAATAAGAAATGAATTATGACCCTTGAAGAAAGGAAAACGAAAATATCTACCACCTGTTGCTTATACTATATCTAGAAAGGAGAAAAAGATATTGTGTGAGTTTCTAAGTGATGTTAAAGTTCTAGAAGGATACTCTTCAGATATTAGAAGACTTGTGTCTATGAAAGACCTCAAATTAAAGAGTTTAAAGACACATGATTGCCATGTTATAATGGAATATTTTCTACCAATAGGTATACGTTCAATTTTTCTAGAAAAAGTAAGAAGCGCAATGTGTTTTTTCTTCAGGTCCATTTGTAGTAAGGTCATCGATCCTGCGATCTTACCATCATTGCAAAAAGAAATAGTTATTACTTTGTGTCAGCTTGAAATGTATTTTCCTCCCTCGTTTTTTGACATAATGGTTCATCTAATTGTTCATCTTGTGAAAGAGACACAATTGTGTGGACCAACTTATATGATATGGATGTACCTTGTTGAACGTTATATGAAAATATTAAAAGGGTATGTGAAAAACCGAAGTCGACCAGAGGGATGTATTGTTGAATGATACAGTGTAGAAGAAGTGGTTGAGTTATATACTGAATATTTGTCCAATGTTCAATTCATTGGACTCCCTAAATCTCATGTTTTCGAAGAAAAAAAAAGGAAAAAAATTAATTGGAAATAAAATTGTGACAATATCAAGGGCTGAACGGGAGCTAGTGCATTTGTATGTTTTGCACAATGACAACGAGGTTGATCCGTATGTTGAAATTCACAAGGATGAACTCCGAGGTTTGAATCTGAATAGAAATTAAAACTGGATAGCACGAGAGCACAATCAATGTTTTATACCATGGTTCAAGGATCATATTTATTCAAAGTTTTATTCAGATCCCGCTCCAATAACATAAAGGTTGAGATATTTAGCATATGGTCCAAGTTTGCATGTGTTTTCTTATAGCGCATACGTAATTAATGAATACACTTTTTATACCAAAGAACAAGATGATAAAAGTCCTATGCAAAATAGTGGTGTCACTATGGTAGCTGAAGCAATGCACATTTCAAGTGTGAAGGAATTAAACCCCAAACATACCCTTTAGCCATAACACCCTCGCTTTTAATCTCAACATACCCTTCTTATGATTAAAGTGGTTCCGAATATCCTTAGATGTATCAACCCTTTTCTTAGACAATTCACCAAAGCTTGAAAATCCCAATCTACTAACCTGGGCATCTAAATCGTTAAGATCCTACACCACCTCTTCTACCTTCAAATCAATCCACCCGAACACCTCTTTATTCCAAGACTTCAAACTCGCCTTTAGAAGACCATATTTCACTTTTAACACATAATCCTCTCTCCCCCTAACCTCGTAAGATTCCCATTCCTTACCCATAAATTTCAAGAACTCAGGATTGTTAACTCAACAATCATTAAACTTGAAAGGTTTAGGGCCCCAATCTACACAATAGCTTTCAGCCATACAGGGAAATGGTCAGAAATATCCCTTATTCCTATATGCTGTCCCGTAATCTTCCAATCTTTGATAATAAAATCTGACACTAAAAACCTATCAAGCCTACTCATTGAAGAGCCTAAACTATTGAACCACGTAAACGGGCCACCCACACACGAAACATCTAAGCATTCTATTTCTTCGATAAATTTATGAAATTCCTCCATCTCCCTTCTTCTCTCTCCATCACTCACCCTTCCTTTTACTACTGTGAGATACCGTGTTGAAATCCCCACCAATAATCCAACCACCCTTCCAATTTTATCCTTCACGTCAACAATCTTCTTTCACAACTTTCTCTTAAGAGCCACTTTACACGACGAATAAACATTGATAAAGAACAAATCCTTCCCCTTCCATATTGCGTTTAGACCCATGAAACCCTCTCCCTTAAAGCTATAGTTAAGATTTATAGTGTATTTTCTCCACATGATAGCCATCCCCCCCAGCCTTACCAGTTGCACTAAAATCAGTCCACTCCACATCAGAACTACCCCAAATAGAAGCAGCCATCACACTATCTAGAGAAGCAATTTTTGTTTCTTGAATATAACAAACATCAAAGTTACCAGATTAAATAAGAAAAGCTAACCTTTTCTTCTTTACTACACTTCCTCCACCTCTTATATTAAAAGATAAGATATTCATTGATCACCCAAATTTACAGACACCCTCGATGCTTTACCTTCCTTATCCCTCATCCTTCCTGATTCTCCACTGATTCCTATAGATATGATTATCTCCCACACCTTCTCCGATACCTTAGACTCCATCTCGGCCTAAAATCTCTTATTGCCCTGAACCACTTCCAAGTCAGTAACTGAGTGGTATCACAACATCGTCTCCTCCAAAATCGTGACCTTTGCCATCTTCTTCTTCGATAAGGCTAAAGTTCCCTTGGAATCTCCTATGCAACTAGAAGAAGGACAAACCACCGATAGAGAAAGAGCTTTAGAATCTTCAGTGGCCATGACCAGACTCAAAGGTAACAAACATGATTTGGGGCAATTTTCCACAGAAATCCCTAAATTCTCCTCCAAGTAAAGTAAACTATTGGAACATTTTCTACCCAAAGAACGACCTTTACACCTATTTTCCAAGCCCAAAGAATTTTTGATACTATGGGCCAATTGGGCTTTCAAAATCCGATCAAAAGAGACGTCAGTCTCCTTACCAAGAGGAAGATCTATTTCCTTAAAACTAGCCTCACAACTGGACCCACTTTGAAAAACGAACCAGATCGTTGAATGGGTGAACCATCACAACACTACACATTTGCATGACACACTCCTTTAGGATTAGGTATTAGGGCATTGACCTCTATCTCTTTCTTTTTCATAGATTCGGCTATATCTCCCTCTTATGACATGCTTTCATTAAATCTATAAACCCTTTTTTTTGCTATATTCTTCATGATAAAACATATTAACTTTATCACCTCGTAAACTAGAAACTTCATCTTCCCTTTCACCTTCAAAGTCCAACCATTCGGAGCTATCTTTGACGTAAGATACATCTGAATCCGATTCTGACTCTATCGGGGAAAAGCTTTTAATCGACTTGGATAAAGGACCCAAAGTCTCTTCAGCGACTCTGATTCTAAATTGAACACCGTTAATGATGACATAAAATATTTCATCAATCAACATACCGCAAGAATTCCTAACCATAATAGTAGCGACATCCATTTTGGAGAAGTCTGACGAACAATCTTCACAGCCTATGTATTTCCCAACCAAGGAAGAAATAAACTCAAAGAAAGGCACTGGCCATGCATGGCTAGGAATACCGTAACACTTTAACCATGTAAGTCTCTCCAAATCCATCGCTTCATGTTTCCACCTCTTCACCTCAAAAAACTACTGGCCTAACCATTCCTTAGCTCCTTCAATAAGAGACTCCATCTCTCCTTCTTTCGTCTCCTCGAGTAGGCACAAATTTTCTCCTAATGGCGTCACCTTGACAACAAAGTACCCCTCCATTTGGAAGTTTCTCTGCATATTATACGTAGATCCCAAAGAAATGACCTTCCCAATATACGCTCTTTTAAATTTTTGATGTCCTCCTTATCAATCTCAAACGACAACTTATTATTTCCCTTGAATGCATGAGTGCGAACCACTTTAGCGTAAGAAAACTTTCTCTTATGAACTCCCTCTGACACAGAGAAGCGAGCAGAAAAATCCAACTTTTTGTAGGACAAACTCACTCCTTTAAACACTCCCTTACTTCCTAACAAAGTTGGAGCCTTATCTTGATAAAACTATCCTCTCGAATTTCTTGAGAACCTAGGTAAGTTATCAAATAACTTCCTCCTCTCAATAAAGAATTTATCAAGCTTCAATACCAAACTTCTGGCGTCGTCCACGTCAAAGAATCGCATGAAATCATACTTTTTCCCTCTTCTGTCTCTCTTATGAGGGATGAATACCCCATCCACATCACCGAAGTCTTTCATCAATAAGTATAGATCTTTGGCTCTCATCCTATCTAGAAACTTGGTGATGAAGATATATGTGGGTTCCCTTGCCTTCTTCCCCTTAACCCTATCTTCTACTTCCCATCTCACCTTCTTTCCATTTTGCTTATGGTGAGATACCTTCGTCCACCCTTCTCCATCTTGCCCTAGAGACCCTTTCTTCATGGTTGGCTTTGCCGCTGAAAGAAACGAAAAGAAAACTAGAGAGAGATAATAGTTTGTATGATAAATATATGTGTGTGTGTGTGTGTGTGTGTATATATATATATATATATATATATATATATATATATATATATATATATATATATATATATATATATATATATATATATATATATATATATATATATATATATATATATATTATAGTTTTGATACCAATTGAAGTAAATAAAGATGTCACGAGAAAGGGGGTTCAATTGTGACCTCTTAAAAATTGTTATTCTTCTCTCTAAATCTATTAATTCGTGTCTTGAAAATTTGTTTAAAGATCAATGGCTAATGGAACAATTTAATAAGTATTTTTTGTTGTGTGTGAATAGTGTAAAATAAGAGAGTAATTAAAGGAGAGAGTTTAGAAGAGATACAAGAGGAATTTATATTAGTTCTCCAATGTGATTAGTTCAGTCCTCACGCTGCGTGAGAGTTGATATAACTTTACGTAAGTTTACAGAACAACAAGATTTTTATATCGCTTGCAACTATATAATTTTAATAGAAAGTGATTCTCTTGAAGCTTTCTTACAACTTCATCATATGATAGTGAGAGGTTAGTTTATTATCTTTGACAATGTGGGTATACTGTATTTGGATAAATAAACTATTTTTGCTTATAATTCTTATGAATCTTTGTGCACGTTTTTATCAAGGGTATTCCCACACTATTGAAAAAATGACTTGTATTTATGAGCAAGAAGCATAGGCGTTGAGTCATTGGATTTTTGTCACTAGTTCTGACTTTTGGATAAATGAGTTCTCGGAGTCTTATCATGATAAAAGCTTGATAGCTCTTAGTCTTATACATAAACTTTGTGTTCAATTAGTGGTGTAGTGCTGACGTCACATGTTACTCTTGGTAACTGAGTTTTGTATTTTAGTGTGAGTGAGTCCTTTAATTCTGTTTTGCATAATTACAAGTCAGTAATATAGTGCTGACATCACATGTTATTCTTCGGAGCTAAAATTTGTCTAGTGCAAATGAATCCTCTAATTCTTTCTTGTATTATTGAATCATCTAGTTCTATCTTCTAAATTTGAATCCTTTAACTCATTTGATCTTTTTACATGTTCTAACATATTTTACTTTGAATTTATGTTCAATCAATACTTGATTTAAGACATTTTAGATGTAAAAGCAAATAGTTATAAACATAATAATATTCGTGAAAGTTTACTTCAAAGTTTGTTATCCTTAAAACTTATTTTAGATTCAACCAAATATTATTGATGTAGTTTTTATCATTAATTAAGAATATTATTTTACTTAAAATAAATGTATTATTATTTTTTTTCAAAATAACAACTCTCTTATCTTATTTATAATTTTGATTAATAGGAATAAAAAAGAAATTAGTAACATTTTATAACATTGACTTTAAAACGCGATAATAAATAGGCTAAATTATAGCTTTAGTCTCCTTAATTTTAACTGATTTATAAAATTAATCTTCCTATTTTAAATTCAAACACTTTCGATATTTTTTTTCACGTTTTTCATAAAAAATTAATGAGAGGTTCATTTTTTAACATATATTTTTATCTATAAAGTTCCACATTATATTTATATACGATGATTTATCATGTTTCTCGAAAAATTTATCAATAATTTTAAAAAATAAAAACATCATTAATTTTAAAATATAAAATAATAACCAAAACCATTTAAATTTAAAATAAAGAGATCAATATCATAAATCAGATAAATAGAGACACTAAAATTACAATTAAGTTTAATAAATATTTGCATTTTAGATAATATAATAGCAAAAAGTTGTCCATAAGATAATACTAGTAACGAGTGTTCGACTTACAAAGATATAGTAAATGATTATTATATCAATCTTTCTCTTTGTGGTTAATAAAACAATATATAGAACAAGTGAGTTGTCTTGCACGTATAACTCATTTAATTATGAACAAGATATCGTGATTAAGATTTAAACATACATTAATCAATTGAGTTTAATATTAATCCCACGCACGGTTGGTTCTCCGGGAATCTCTCTATCTCTCTATCCCTCTAGTGGAACTTCCTTGTACTTGTGTAGCATTCTTTAAGGTTAATACATCCCATTATATTGATTTCTGAAATGTTTCTCAATAACAAATACTAATCCATGTTACTTAAAATGCAAGTTAAATAGGGTCAACTCACATGAATTTAATTTCAGCAAATATAAAAAATAAAGTTTGTATACCTATTTATTGCAAAAAGTATACTAGCAAATACTATTTAAAATATAAACTACACACAAATTAAATAACAAATCTAGATGAACATATATGTTTATTCAATATATGTTGATTTTAGGTTTTTAGTAATATTTTTAAAAGTTTGATTTGATTGGTTAACTTACTTAAAAATTATTTTATCTAAATTTAAATAATTTGTTTTATTTATATTTAATTAAATTAACAAATTAGTAAATCAATAAAATTTTATTTTATTTTAATATTTAACACGAAGTTTTAAACAATCGATCTTTATATAATATCATATTTGTTGTGAATCGTATGTCTTGAAACAAAATATAAACGGTTTTTTTATGATTAAGAAACACACAAGGGTTAGGGTTAACAAAGAAAACAAGGTAAAACAACAAGGAACAACAAGGATTGGTCATAAACTACTATTCTTTCCTTACTCTTAGAACAAAATTACAAGTATACATGAATAACAAAATAACTTCTCTCTTTTGAAATTAAGATCATCTTCCTATTTTTCCTTATGCCAAGATAGAGAAACTAACATCCTATTTATAAGAAAAAATAACACACTAACCTAATGAGTTTTTTAACAATTACCCATTACAAACTAACTTAGGGTACAAGCTAACTTAAACAATTGGGCTTACAAGTAAGGTCCAATTCAACATGCTAACAACCTTAGCAATATTGACTAATGCATGTTAGAACAAACTTCGACTACAACACGCATTACTCCGACAACAACATGCGAACATACTTTGACCTCATGCTTAATTCCTGTCGAACCAGAAGCTACCCTTCGACCATACTAGAGTTTGATCCAATATCTCACAAATCTCCACCTTGGATCTAACTCTATAACATCAAGAAACTAGCTTTCTTCATGCAGCTTTATCAACTGCATACAGTGAAAAAACTTGCAACTGAGCAACGTCTTGGTGATCATATCAGCAATATTATGATCTGTCGAAACCTTCAACACTTGGACTTCTCCACGCTCGATTACCCCTCTGAAGAAATGCAACCTCACATCAATGTGCTTGGTTCGCTCATGATAGGCTGAATTCTTCGACAGGTGTATTGCACTTTGACTATCACATTTAACAGTGATAACTCGACCTTGAAGTTTTAGCTCATTTGCAAAACCTTCAAGCCACAATGTTTCCTTCACAACTTCAGTTAGGGCAATATATTCCGCTTCAGTGGTTGATAAGACAACGACCTTCTGAAGTGTTACTTTCCAACTGATTGTTGTCCCAAACATAGTAAACACATATCCAAAAATATATTTTCTGGAATCCATACAACCTGCATAATCAGAGTCGACATATCCTTCGATTGCTGCTTTACTATCTTCACCCAAGGCTCCACCATAAATTAGGACTCTATTCAGATACCCATTTATGTACCTTAGAATCCACTTCAATGCTTGCCAGTGAGCCTTTCCAGGATTCTCCATGAACCTGCTTACAAGACTTACTGCATATGTTATGTCGGGTCTAGTCCATATCATAGCATACATCAAAGAACCCACTACGTTAGCATATGGAATGCTATTCATATAAGTTCTTTCAACATCAGTGATGGGACACTGATCTATACTTAGCTTGAATTGAGGGTTTGTTGGAGTCACAACAGGCTTTGAATTCGACATACCAAACTTTTCGAGAACCTTCCGTAGGTATGCCTCTTGAAATAAGCATAATTTCGACTGCTTTCTATCTCTTCAGATGTCAATCCCAAGAATCCTGGACGCAGCTCCCAGATCCTTCATGTCGAACTCCTTATTGAGTTCATCCTTCACCCTCATTACCTCTTCGACATTGTTGCTTGCTATTAGAATATCATCAATATAGAGCAACAAAATAACAAATGAATTACCCGGTCGAAATCTGAAGTAAACATAGTGGTCAAGCTGACTTTTGATGAAACTTATGCGTGCCATGAACTTGTCGAATCTTCTATTCCACTGTCGAGGAGATTGTTTCAGTCCATATAAGGATCTCTTCAGCTTGTGCACATAATCTTCCTTCCCTTTTTTGACATACCCTTCAGGTTGCCTCATCAGGATTGTTTCATCTAAATCACCATACAAGAATGCAATCTTCACATCCATCTGTTTCAGTTCAAGGTCGAAATGTGCCACTGTGGCAAGCAACATTCAAATGGATATGTGCTTTACAATAGGAGAGAACACATCATTAAAGTCAACACCTTCTTTCTGAGTGAATCCCCTAACAACCAATCTTGCCTTGTATATTTTCGACGCCACTCCTTCGATTCCTTCCTTAACTTTGAAAATCCATTTACAACTGACTAACCTGGCTCCAACAGGTTTCTTGATCAGTTCCCAGGTGTTGTTATCATGAAGAGATTTCATCTCATCATCCATGGCCTTCAGCCATTCAGTCTTCTTTCGACTCCTCATAACTTCCTTATAGTCTCTAGGTTCTTCGTCTAGAACCTCACTTGCAGAGATTAAGGTATAAGCTATAAGATCTGCATACCCAAGTCTCTGAGATAGCTTTATGACTCTCCTCTACCTGTCTCTTGCTAGCAGGTAGTCATTATTAGTATCCTCATCTTCGACAACATCTTCTGCGTCTTCTTCGACTTCATCTGGGGTACACAATTCAGCATTAACAAGCTCCACCTCAACAGGAATCTCTCATTGTTCCAGCTTTTTGTCAGCATCATCAGTTTTCTTGAAAGCCATCTCTGCTTCACCGAAAACT